GATAGCCAGTGCCTCCTTATCTAATTGGCTGTAGTTTCTTTCGGGTTTGCTGAGTGTTCTTGAAAAGAAAGCGATGGGTGCTTCTTTTCCGTCAGGGAGTGTATGGCTGAGGACGGCGCCGACGCCAAATGGTGAGGCGTCGCATGTGACGGCGATGGGTAGGGTCTCATTATACTGAATGAGAACGGCATCCGAGGTGAGCAGGTCTTTGGTATTCTTGAATGCGGTGTCCTCCCGTTTCCCCCAGGTCCATTTGGCCGTCCTGTCCAGGAGCCTATGCAAAGGCTCCGCCGCGGTCGCCTTTTGGGGCAAGAACACATTGTAAAAATTTAGCAGTCCCAGAAATGCCTGCAGCTCTGTTTTGTTCTTGGGTGTGGGGGCTTCCTTTATGGCTTTGACCTTGCTTCCGGTTGGGTGGATGCCATGTCGGTCTAGGAGGTACCCCAGGAACTCGACTTGCTCTGTGCATAGCTGGCATTTCTCTTTCTTCACCTTTAGCCCGGCCCCTTTGAATTTTTCTAGTACCTCCCTTAGGCGACCCTCTAGTTCCTCCTGGTTGGCTGCCGACACTAATACATCGTCAAAATAGGGAACCACCCCCTTGATTCCCCGCAGCAGTCTCTCCATGAGGCTCTGGAAAATTCCTGGGGCTACGCTGACTCCAAACTGGAGTCGGTTACAACGAAACGCTCCCCGGTGGGTGACTATTGTTTGCGCCTCGGCGGTTTCTTCATCGACCGGCAGTTGCTGATAGGCTTGTGCCAGGTCGAGCTTCGCAAAGACCTTGCCCCCCCCCAGCGAGTGTAGTAGGTGTTGCACTACTGGGACGGGGTAGGCGCTTTGTTGCAGGGCGCAATTGAGGGTGGCCTTATAGTCCCCGCAGATCCTTACTGACCCATCTGGCTTGACTGGGGTGACTATAGGGGTCTCCCACCGGGCGTGGTCGATTGGCTGCAACACCCCCTGTTTGACGAGCTTGTCAATCTGCTCGTCTATTTTCTTCCGGAGTGCAAAAGGCACCCGTCTGGGTTTTAGGCGTATGGGGGCGACATTTGGGTCTAGGCTGAAAGAGATAGGGGGCCCTTTGTACTTGCCTAGGGTGCCGTCGAATACTTCTTGGAAATCCCTCGCCAGCTGCTGCTCCCAGTCGGCCTCTGTGGTGTGGTTTATTCCCGTGACCTCGATCCCGAGTGGCGCGAACCATTGGAGTCCTAAGAGGCTGGGTCGGTTCCGGTCCACGATAGTCGGGGAAGTTTCGCGGTGCGGTTTTTGAAAGTCACCTCGAACTGTCCGGTCCCAATGACGGGGATGCGGTTCCCCTGATAGTCCTTGATGATCAGCTTCTGGTTCTCCAGTCCTCTTTTCTGGATGTTTGGCACCAGTCGCTTGAGTTCTTTCCAGGCGACCATGGAGAGGTAGGATCCGGAGTCTACCTCCATCCGGCATGGCTCGCCCTCGATGCTCACCTCCACGTAGACCTTCCGGGCATCCGTGGTTTCGGCATGGCCGATGGTGACCGTCTGGTGGGTTTCTTCTCTCTGGCGGCCTTCCCCGCTCCGTCGTCCTCGGTTGTCTCGGTTCCAGCGATAGTCGGCTTGGCGATCTCTGGTCCTCGGGGGGGTGTCGTCTCGTCCCCGGTTGCTTGGTTCTCGCCGGCGGGGGCTGTGTGTCTTTCTGAGTCGGCAGACTCGGGCGATGTGGCCCTTCTTGTTGCAATGCCGGCAGATCGCGTCGATAAAACGGCACTCTGATCGAAGGTGACTTCCCCCGCACCCGGCGCACTGGTTCCCCGACTTACGACCCCGTTGATCTCGCCGGTCCCGTCCTGTTTGTAGTCGGTGGACGTCTTCCTCCTCGTCCGTGGTATCGGAGGCGGAGTCCAGGTCCCCGTGGTGTGTGGTGGTCTCTCGTCGGCTTGTCTCGGGGGTTTCAGAGCGGTCCCCGTTGTCTGCCCTCCGAAGTCTGGCTGCTGACTTCCGGGTGGCTTCGGCTGCGGAAGCTTCGGCCAGGGCGTCCCCGAGGTCGATGTTGCCTTTTGCCATCAGTCGACTTTTTAGTGCCTGATCCCTGAGGCCTAGGACCACGCGGTCTCGGAGGACATCGTCCAGGTCCCTGAACTCGCACATCCCCCCTAGGTCTCGCAAGGCGGCTATGAAGTCGCTAATGCTCTCGTCCTGCCGCTGGTTCCGCCGATAGAACTCATCCCGCCGGATGAGGATGGGCACAGCGGGGGCGTAGTGGTTCCGAAGGAGTGGCTCGAGATCGGCCCAGTCCATCGCCTTCACATCCTCGGGCTTCGCGAGGGCTTTGGCCATCTTAAACACTGCGGGCCCGCAGTGTGTGAGGAAGACGGCCCTTTTCTTCTGCCCGTTCGCATCCTTCAAATTGCTACTTTCGAGGAACATCAGGAATCTATCCGTGTACGATTCCCAGTCCTCGGTAGCTGGGTTGAAGGGTGCTGGTGGGGTCATGCTGGCCATCTCGTCGGTCTTTGTCTTCCTCGGGACACGTGCTCGGTGGTTATTCTCTGGATCCCACCTTCGTCGCCAGTGTCGTGTCCGTCGCGGAAAGGAAGCTCGGAGTCAGTGACTTAGTTTCAGCTCTTTATTGGCTCCGGGTACAGCTTAAGCTTGAAGGGAAAAACGGCGGCTTTTTATTTCCGAGCCGCGGCGGCCGCGGCCAATGACACCGCTTCGAATCTCCCGCGATTAGTTTCCACCAATCGCGGGGGATTCGCAACGGACCAATCAGTGCGGCTCGCTCAACCAATCCGGTCGCCGCGCGCTTTAGCCAATCGCGACGCGGGGCTACGAGTATGTAAATTGACTTGTACAGAACAGGTTGGTCAATGTATCTGTGGGTGTAATAAAATACAAACCTGTTCTGAAATAGTTGGTAAACTGACGGTGGTAAAATAAACTTGTTTCCCGCTCACTCTGGTGAGTTGTACAGTATTGATAGGAGTTCTGAGCTGTTTGGGGCATGTGTGAAACCAACTACTTGGAACTAGATCCCTTCGCTGTTCATTTGCATTTATTTCTTAGACCTGCTAATTCAAGAGATTGCATGGTCCTGGGATGTTCCCTTTCTCTCCTGATTTTTTAATAGATTTAATTGTAATTAAAAATTTACTACCAGCCCTAACTCAGGAAGTACATGCATTAAGGGATGATAGAAATTGAGAAGACATTGAGAATTGGCATCGCAAGATGTTCATCCATATTTGTGGTGGGATGCAGCAAAAGTTCAATTTGTTTCCAGATAATTCCGCGTTTGTTTAGTTTACGGCTGCTGAAAACCACTGCAGTGAAGAGACATGAAAGAAACTGATAAATGCAGTGTTGATAGTAACCAGTGTTTCCCCCCCCCCCACAACTAAGACAATGCAAGAATTCAGGGTGTCTCTGGTGATGAGTTGAATAGTGGAAGATGATACACATCTTCACTCAACACATCATTACAAAAAACAGATTACGCTGGCTTGTCTTCACTTAACGTACAGTAAAATTTTGTCTACTAAAAGGCAGTGTTGATGGCCACTAAATCAGGGGTCTCCAACCTTGGCAACTTTAAGACTCGTGGACTTCAACTCCCAGTTCAATTCTGTCCACAAGTCTTAAAGTTGCCAAAGTTGGACACCCCTGCACTAAATAACTGTCACTGTGATAGCAATTAGTCATGACAATTAAGAGATTCCATCTTTAAAAGCAGGATCCTTCCATGTGCCACTTGTTATGAACAGGCATTCTAACTCCTACAGTACTACCTTCCAGATGTTTTATGTTACCCTAGCCCACAGGTGTGAAACCCGCAGCATCACATTGCCACCACATAACATTTCACAACGTTTTTTTCCTTTGAGGAGCTGGGGTGGGTGTGGTCATGCGTGACACATCCAGCCCACGCAGGCCACCAGTTTGACACCCCTGCCGTAACCCATCCCATTCATTCATTTCAAGGTGGGATTGTTGAGAATTACAAGGGGTGCTCCCAGTTGAGAAGAGTTTCTTCAAAGGCTGAATGTGAGCTGTGTTTTGTTTGACAGTTGTTAATGAAACTCATCGGTCCTGAGGATAAGGTTAGGAGTTGTGATCCTGGGCATCTAAAAATCATCTATTAAGAAAGGCTGCTCTAAGAATTCAGGTTGTACTCTTTCATGCAATCCATGTTGGTCGGGCTAAAGGGAATTGTAACTTTAGAGCTGGCTGCTCTAAAAAAAATTGCAGAAGGAGATTGGGCCAGTGTTGATGGGCAGAGACCACCATTAACATTTTTCGAGGACTTGAAATCCATTTTTCTTAACTATGCTGCCTATTTTAGGGCTTATGATCTAGTTTTCACATGTTTATACCCAAGAAAAATACATGAAACCTTGCTGGCAGTTCCTGGTGGTTATGGTCTGTTGAGGGAGATGGGTCATTCTGAGATGTGATAGATAGATAGATAGATAGATAGATAGATAGATAGATAGATAGATAGATAGATAAATAGATAGATAATAAAAATAGAATAAAATAAAATAAAGAATAAAATAAAATATTCTAGGAGTTGGAACAGCATGGTGATCTACAGATAAAGACTCTGGCCTCTCACTTGGAAGGTTGAGAGGTCAATCCTAGGCAGTGGCAAATATGTCTATCAGGGCACAAAGAGAAAATATCTGTTGCAAACTTTCCATAGGAGTCAGGAAGGGCATCAGGCCAGTAAATGCGCAGCTCCATTCCGTCACCCTGACCCCCACACTGAAGCAAGGGATTACCAAGGGGGGAAAAAAATTGCAGGAGTTTTGTTTTTTTTTAAAAAAGAGGAAATGGTGGGAAGATTCCAAATTACCCACCTTTTGTACTTGATGGTCTGTTGCTCTGGTCTAGCAAACTTTTGATGGCCTTACTCTTCTTGTGATTCTGTTTCAATTTCTGTTGTGAGAAGGCATTAAAAGATCTCAGAATTTGTTACCATGTTGTATAATAGTTTGCCAACCCAGTGCTTTTGTTTTTCAGGGTGGCCATAAATCATCCTTTCTTACAGCGGAAAAAAGAGCCAGGCTAAAAACAAACCCTGTAAAAGTCCGTTTTGCGGAAGAGGTTGTCATGAATGGACATAATCAGGTTTGTGTGAATGCTATTATTACCAAGCCATATGGAATAGTTGGCTTTCAAATTTGACAGGTAATCCAAATTACATGCTGTATTAAGATAACTGCACTAGCTGAAAGTGATCATGAAATGAAGACAGCATGGCCTTTTCACAACTGTTATCCTCTCCAACTTAAATACATTAGCACTTTGTCAGATAGATTCATGGGCTCAAGGTCATTTGAACCGAGTAGGATGCCAATGAAAAATAAGCAAAAAATCTTTCTTTCCTTGCTAGAAGGAAAAAGCTTGTTAAAAATATATGTTTCAACCTGATACAGTAAATACACTGAAATCAAATTGTCCTTGGCAGGGGTGGGATTCAAATTTGCTAACAACCGGTTCTGTGGGTGTGGCTTAGTTGGTGGGCATGGCTTGGTGGTCATGTTATTGGCTGGGTGTGGCCAACTCAATACCACTCACATTGAGGCACGCATCTCCTCGCCTGGCTTCTCATGACTGTGGGGATGCTGCAACAGTCGTAAGTGTGAAAAATGGTCATAAGTCATTTTTTTCAGTGCTATTGTAACTTTGAATGTTCACTCCAGACAAGCAAAGTACCAGCAAAAGAGGAAAAAAACTCCAGAGAGGTTCCTGAGACAGGAAGTCTAGTCCTGCCAAGAATGTAATAAGGGTTAACGGAGAGGCAGTTTCTGTAAGCAACACCAGAATGTTTCCTTCCTGCCTTCCTTACAGGATTAGGCCAGTAATTTCTTCTAACAATCGGTTCTCTGAACTGCTTAGAATGTTAACAACTGGTTCTAGCGAATAGGTGCGAACTGGTAGAATCCCACCCCTGGTCCTTGGTACTCTTGGAAAAAGAAAATGGAATGGAATGACAATGTTATCAGGGACATCTACAGGGGAATGGGAGAGTCAAAAAAAGTCAAAATGGTAACCATAATCCTGAATTGAACTCCAGGGATTTTTTAAAAAAATATACGATTCAATTGTGCAATCACAGAAGCCATCTTAAATTTTTGTAACCCCTTTGCAGATATTCCTGAATTTTTCTGTGCATGAACATATTTTTAGGTACACTGTTTCTCCTGCTGGGGTATTGACAAACAATGTAACTGCAAAATTGTCAATCTAAAAAGTAGAGGTCATCTGCATTTCTCCGAGTTTTGTTAAACAATAGTTTCCAGCACCTCTCATTATTGGCTAAGTTGACTGCTGTTGGTGGGAATTCAGATATAGTTGAGAAGCTCATCCGCTTGGGGTATTAACAGAATGCTATTTTTTCCCCCATTCCCTTTTTGTTTACAAAATTGTGAACACTTTGCTACAGGTCATACCTGGCAGAGATGAATAGAACCTTCCATTTTGCTTTGGCTCAGTTCCCCCCCCCCCTTTTTTTTTAATTAAGTTGACCTCAGTTTGAAGTTTTCACAAATATTCCTATCTGCTTTTGCGTGCATCTTCTGGTAATATGCATGGACACGTTTCTAGAAGACACATTTTATCTGCCGTTTTCTTTAATGCAGTCAATTTTCATATATCATGTCCACTGAGGCAATGTACTTTTCTTCAAAATATTTAATATGCGTATTTTTAATTTGAAAGCTATGTGGAAAAAATTCAAATATTGCATGAATATCACTGCAGTTCCAAACACGGGTTTCTTGGAAAATGTGAAATCAGTGGTTTTGCATTACGATGCAAACCAGACCTATTGTTCTCCCATTTATAATCACATTGCTCGCTGTCTAGCCTTATTTTTCGGCTCAGTCAAGGATTATGAGCTCATGAATATATAATAGGAGGCATTGTTTTACATATAGGGATCTCTCTAAGTCCATCCGCTCTATCCATACAGGAAGATAACTTTCCCAGATACTTTTATAGTACTTTTCCAAATGGCACAGCAACCTTCGCAGGAGGGCCCATCACAGTAGTCCTTTTAAATGGAATATTACTGAAGCTGAAGTAAGATTTTTTTGGAAAAATCCCAGAAGTGCTTTCACAGTGTTGGCCTGAAGGCATAAATTGTTGATGAGATGAAATGCTTTTAAACCTTACTTTTCTAAGGTAAGGCTTGTATATCACCCCATGGCAATCTTCTGCACAAGTCATCTGAGGAATCTGGCTGTGTAAATGATGGTCTCCCCTCAGTTCTGCTATGCTGCCTCATGATGGGAAGGGAGGCGGTAATGCCAGGAGGAATGAACAAAGAATAATGGGAGAATATACCACGAGTATAATAACCCCAGTAGGCTTACCAAGGCTTGAAGGTCATCCCAGCTGCCCAGCTAAAGCAAGCAGGCACCTATATTGGCCAGCAGCAATATAGAAAGATGTTGAAAGTGGATGCCAACATTCATTCATAATGTGTGGGACAATGCAAAGATGAGTCACTTCCACATGATGCTGAGAAAACCCCATGGATAGACACAATAAAGTGATTGATTACATAGTACAGATAGTCCTTGACTTTTGACCACAATTAAACCAAAATTTCTGTTGTTAAGTGAATTTTGTCCCAATTTTACGACCTTTCTTGCCGCAGTTCTTAAGTGAATCACAGCAGTTGTTATCTTAGTGACATGGTTGTTAAGTGAATCTGGCTTCCCCATTGACTTTGCTTGTCAGAAGATCGCAAAAGGTGATCGCGTGACCACAGGGCATTGTAACCGTCATAAATATGAGTCAATTGCCAAGCATCCGAATTTTGATCATGTGACCATGGGGATGCTGTAACGGTTGTAAGTGTGAATGATCATAAGTCACTTTTTCCAGTGCTGTTGTAACTTTGAATAGTCATTAAACAAACTGTTGTAAGTCGAGAAGTACCTGTAGTGAATTATGGGCCTCCCTTGGGTCAAAGGGCACCCAATATGCTACTGAAGAAGAGCTGGTTGTGTTTGTCACATGGCTAGAGCAGAACCCTTTGGGGGTTGCCATGCAGGAAAAGAAAATCTAAAGTTACAAAGATAAAATTCCAGTGGGAACATGACACAAGCCCAATGCAGAAAAAGATGAATCCATTACACCTTGACATCTTAGGTGTCAGCGAATTGAAATCGATTGGAATTTCAGTCAGAAGATATTGAAGAAGAGAATAGTTTCTGCCTTTTAAGATCAACTGTCAATGATAAGGAACCAAAGGTCCAGAAATATGACACAAACCAACATTTGGTACGATAGTAGCAAAGGTTTTGGTAAAAGATATTCAGATGCTATGACACGTCTATACCCTTAACAATTGGGATCATGCATGACATGGTTTTTCCAGTGACACCCTACAGAAAGTGAAAGTTGGACTTTGAAGAAAAAGGGTAAAAAGAGTTTTTTACTTTTTTGAAAGTTGGTGTCGGAGAAGACCCTTGAGAATACCAGATATAGACCCAAAAAAACCCTCCACCCTATTCCTTGCTTTTTGTTCTGATTAGATCTATGCAAAATTAAAGGGTAAACTTATAGTGTGTTAAGATTCTTTCACATTTTTTTAAATTGTTGTTTGAGCTATTCAAGTGCCAGGAAGACATTAAGGCAGGGATCCCCAACCTTTTCGATGCCGCGGCCCGGTTCCGGCGTCAGCTGGGCGCCGCGGCCCGGTTCCGGCGTCAGCTGGGCGCCGCCATCTTTTTTGACGAAAAATTGCTTTTTTTACCAAAAAAAGATGGCGGCGCCCAGCAACCAGCGGCCCGGTAAGGCTTGTTCCGCGGCCCAGTACCGGTCCGCGGACCGGCGGTTGGGGACCCCTGCATTAAGGCATTTAGAAAATCAGTCCTTATTTCTAGAGTTCATTATTCTTTATGAAGAAATTTTGAAAAAGGATTTCTTTGGGGGAATCTTAAAACAATGTAAAATGTTGAGCTAAAGAAAAATCCTTTGGCATTGCAAAAATTACCAACTATTCATATTTCATGAAGGCCTATCTCTTCTTCAAAGTCTTTAAACCAATGGAACTTGTGTAAAAGAGATTTCTCAGGGCTCTGGTCCCACTGGCAAGCAAAACAAACCATGACTGCTGACTTGAGAACTGGCTGAATTAATTGAATCCTGCCAGTATAAAACAATAACAAAGAATAATAATATTCAATAACAAGAATAATAAACTCTATTCTGGATAAGGCAATAAACTAAGGTATTGGGAGGATGGCTGGAATCTGGAAATCACAAATTATCCGTTGTACTATCTCCAAAGTATGTGGCAATGCTTTAACTTTCCCACAAGGAGGCTGCTTTATAGAACTGGAAGTAAATTTAATCGTTTGATTTGTCTCACTTGCACCCAAGAGACAACAGAAAGGCAAGCAACAGGAAGGCTAATTCTTTACTTAACATCATTTATTTCCTGCAAACTTTACTTTCTGCTAAGAACTCCTTTTGTTCCTCAGTAAATTGCTGCATATTTCAGACATAATTTGAGAGTCAAAAGTATTCACTGGATGCTGTCATTTGTGTGTTTGTCTAGGGAAGTTCTCTTCTGTGTATGCCCAATGTTCTCAAAGTCTATTTAGAAAATGGGCAGACTAAAGCATTCAAGTTTGAAGCAAACACAACAGTCAAGGTATGTTTATTTATAATATTGTGATTAAATGTTGGATTAGGAACTTTCACTTGGCAATGGTGGCCATTGAAGAGTTGGGCCTGTGAATATTTCTCAAACTCTCCTCTATATTGCAAGATGTTTTGTTGAGAGAAATTGAATAAAATGAGAAGAGATGCCCTTTAAACTCAATGATGAAAGCCAGAAGATGAATACATTGCTGCAGCATCTACTACAATAATGGAAAACATACTGTGGGCAGGTAAAGTAACAATCTGGTATATGATGGAAACTCTTGGATCCTCATGAACCAAACAACGTAGTTCAGTATTTTTGTTTGCTGAAGTGACTTAAAAATAGAATAAGAAAGCAATCAAGTGGCCAACTTGCCTCATCCACAATGCTGCCTGTATTTTTTAACGCTTATAAATTTGGTTGGGACATGATCCACATTTAGCCAAGTAGCAGATTTTATTGTAGCCTATGGTTAATGCCCTTCATTGCAAATTTTATGACTATATTTCTAATGTATGGTAATGTCAGAGAAATTAGTAGTACAAATCTTAATCCTCTATATCTCTGTGGTGGATTGTATTCTATTTTGATTCTAATCCACGTGGGTATTTCTTTTTTCAAATTGCTGTCAGATTACATTGCAGTCAACAATGGGAGTTCGTTGTCAGTAAGCTACACTAGCCAAGATTGTGTACCAAAGAATTTTTATGCATTTGAATGGCTTCTCCATCATGGGTCAGATCTGCCATACCTTATGACGTGTGTACTGTTGAGGTAATTCCCCGTTAGGAGAATGAGCGCATACAGGGAGACGTATTTGAGAGTAGTGTTTGAATAATACACACACAGCACACAGATACACTGTACAGTAAATGTAGTTTTTTTTTTTACTTTCAATAAAGGTTTTAGGCAAAGTTCAAAATAAGCAGTCCAAAAGTCATTCACAAGGTAAATCAGTCAGTTTTCAATCCAGGGATAATCCAATAACAAAGTCCAGTATCAAAAACAGTTCAGTATCAGACTTACATCAAATCCATGAATATCAGTCAATTAGGAAAAATGGAGGAACGGCAATACTCTCCAACAGAAGGAAAAACAGAGACTGAGACTCACTCAAGCTCTCTTCTGAGACTAAGACCAAAACAACCCAGGTTTCTGGCTCCATCTTATGGCCGTTTGAGAAACCACACCCAATTACACTTTTTAGGATTCTCTTAAAGATACAGTTTTAAAATGTCTATCCTTGTTTATATATTTTCAACCCAGTTGTTAGGTGACTTACATTCCTAACATGTACAATTATCCTTGTGAACAATTAAGCTCTCCAAGGACATCATTGTGTGGACCTAGATACTTTCTACATGTTGTTGAAATTGTGATTTTTTTTACACCCGTAATTGGTAGGATATTGTTCTTACTTTGAAAGAAAAGCTATCCATTCGAAGCATTGAACATTTTGCCTTGGTTTTGGAAGAACAATATAATGTGCTCAAGATGTATCTTCTGCATGACGATGAGCTCATTGAACAGGTGAGTTTCACTTCTTTAGGACATTTCTGGTGGTGGTGGACAAATTAATAAACTTTTGCCCAGGGATACTGACCAGTGCAGGGAGCTTAGAATTGCTCTTTGGCATTTTGTCTTCTGTGCTTCATAATTCATAGATAGGGAGGGTACAAACTCCTATCAGCTTGGCCAGCATGGCTAGTGGTCACAGAAATGGGATTTATAGATCAGTCACATTAATAGAACCACGTCTCACACCTTTCAAAGTGGAAATATGTATCCCTTCAAAATATATGGCTGATGATGGAAAACTGGGGCTATTGATTCAGAACATTGCACGCTTGTAAACCTGTTTATATAGCAGCAGCCTTACTGAAATAATCCCAGTTTTCATGTATTGGTCTATAACCATAATAAGGATTTGATTTGATATGAATATCAGTTTCCCTAGAATCTATTTTCATGAATTCTTTTCAATACAGTGTTAACAGCTATCAATTGGTTATTCAAAGTAAAATTTTAAACGCCCTCTTAGAATTTGTATAATCTTATTCCTAATGATAGCCCATAAATGTTTACTTGATACTGCTTTGATTTCTTTAAAGTACCATTGAATTATACTTAAGTCATGCTGAAGTGGATTAATATAAGTTGCTTCCCTAATGAATCATCTTGAGATGAAGATAATACACTGATTGTCATACAAGATCTATTTCTTCCATTCTTTCTTCCAGAATGACAAGCACTCACCTTGTTATAATAGTAGACACTGAATGAGTATTTGAAATTTTTAGACAAGAATTTCCATCCTTTTGGTTTCCTTAATGAGATCCACATAGATTAGAAAGATTTGAGTAATCCAAAATCCCACCCCTCATCCTTGGCAACTCTATCTGAATTTGGAAGATGAGTTGCTCTAAGCAGCTATCTTATCATTTTATGGTTGAATCACAGATGCTCATTTTATCTGATTGCTTTCCAATATATAACCAATATTCCAATATATATAACTCTGCATAATTTACTCTGCTTGTACCATACATGGAGAGGGTCAAGAAGTTAGATGGGATTCTGAAGCAGTATTCCACTGATCACTCAAAACTTTATATAATAAAATCCATCTGCCTTTTTGCTGGAAATTATCCAGACTTGTCCGAGCAGCTATAAAGTATTTAATACCTTGTTTATCAAAATATCTTAGCAGATAATCACTAGAGGTTGGTTCCCAATTCTAAGGACTTTTGTTATAGTGGTAGCATGCTATAGACCAGGGGTGTCAAACACAAGGCCCTCGGGCTGGATCTAGCCCATGGGGTCATCCTAGAAAATGTAAGAGGCCGGCCTGCATCACTTCAACCCAGTCTACCCAATTGAAAGAGGAAACATCAGGCTGGCCTGCGTCACTTTGGCCCAATCTAACCAATGCAAAGAGGAAACATTGGGCCAGCATGGCTTTGGCACAGTCTACCTAATGCAAAGAGGTAACGAGCAGTTTGGGGAGTGGCATCAATCTGACCATGCCCACCCAGTTGGCCATATCCGCCTAGTTAGCCACGCCCATCCGGCCTCCTGAGGTCAACCAGAGCCCTAATGTGGCCCTCAATGAAATTGAGTTTGACACCCTTGATCTACCAGTATCTATCTATCTATCTATCTATCTATCTATCTATCTATCTATCTATCTATCTATCTATCTATCTATCTATCATCTATCTATCTATCTATCTATCTATCTATCTATCATCTATCTATCTATCTATCTATCTATCTATCATTTTTCTTTGTTTCAGGTGGTTCAGAAGAAAGAGTCTCATGATTATCGATGCCTCTTCAGAGTTTGCTTTATCCCCAGGGATCCATTGCATCTCTTGCAGGAAGATCCAGTGGCTTTTGAATATCTCTACTTGCAGGTGATATGGGAATACACTATGAGCTTTTCTGACTTGGTTAGGTTTCATCAATAAATAGCATAAACCCAAGTATCAAACAAGTTTATTTATCCATAATAATGTTGGTGCCTTTACATATAGGGAACATACAGATGTGTATAACACAACACTACACAACACTAATAATACTTTTCCAGTTGTTTGAACATATTTGGAACCATTCAAGATTTAATCTATTTCAGAAATTTTTACATGCATTTTATAATTACAGCAACAAACAGGAAAAAATAAAGGCCACATTGTGTGTCCAAATGTGATACATGTGCAGAAATAAGAATGGGGTGAGGATTGTATAGTAAATTGGGGTTTACTATACAATTTTGTGTTTTTGTATTACACATTTTGTATTTCTGTATTAATTTATTTATGCTCAGTATACTATAGTTTTAAAGATAATTGCTTCAGAGTGCAGATAATTTTCTATGGGTGCAGTTCTCTTTGTGAGAATAGGAAGAGGCTTGACAAGTTTAACAGGTCATTAAGAAAAGAAAGCATTCTTAAGGGCCTAGTACCATCATTTATTGACTTAATTTGCATCTCAGGTTTAGAGAAAGCTAGTTTTCACTGGGGATAATCTATATTTTGAATCTTGTTAAATGCTTTTCACTTCAATGTTCAGTTTTCCTTGGATTCATTTTCCACCCTATATCATGCCTTGTTCTTAACTGAATAAATGAAAAAAAAAATTAAACAACAAACTAAAAAGTCCAAGAAATTCTTCAGCAGTGACTGCTCTCTAACATACTTTAAGGAGCCTCTGTGGCACAGTGGTTAGAGTGCAGTACCGCAAGCTACTTCTGTAGCCAGCTGCCTACAATTTGGCAGTTCAAATCCCACCAGGCTCAAGGTTGACTCAGCCTTCCATCCTTTTCGAGGTGGATAAAATGAGGACCCAAATTGTTGGGGGCAATATGCTGACTCTGTAAACCGCTTAGAGAGGGCTGTAAAGCACTATAAAGCACTATATAAGTCTAAGTGGTATTGCTATTGCTATACTGTCAAAAAAGATAACAATACCCTAACATGAATAGAACCTTACATAGAAATTTCTAGATATTACATCTACTCAGATACACACAGAGGCTGCAACTGTTAAGCCTGGATTCCCCAACGGGTGTTAAGGAAAACAAACTAAACAGAACGTGCAGCGAAGTCAGATAGGAAGACAGGTAAATGTGTGAGATAAGTTTTCTAGTTAACACGCAGTAAAAATACAGATATGCTTGTGCTATCAAAAATATAGTTTATTCCATTTAAGAATTATAGCATAGTCAAATGTAATGGTCCATTAGTCATATATCAATTTCAGTCAAGTCTTGTCGGGGATACTCTATTTGCAAAGTCCGTGTTGAATAGCCAATGTCAGTACACTTACAATAAATCAGTCCAATCTTTATCTTCTCTCCGTTGAGAAGAATCAACACTCCTTTTTCTCTCCCCATTCCAGCAAGAACGCAGTCATCAATCCATCCAGTAATTAGGGATCAGTAAGCCAGAGAGAGCGAGCTGCTATTGCCTCGCTTCTTATATAGTGCTTTTACAACCACACCCTTAATTACATTCTTGCTGTTAAAGTTACATTCAACTTTATATAATGTGCTTGTATTGTCTTACTGTATGAAAATAAATCACAGTTTTACACTCTACAGTAGGTACTTGTTCGTATGTTGATTGCTTAACATAATGCCCCAGTCGGAATGTTATGGGTGGTTTATGGTTGCTAGAATTATTCCTGCTTTGCTTAGCTATATAAGTCACAATGCTCTAAGTCAAAAGCAGCTAAATAGGAAAGAAAGTAACTCAACTGGCAAAATAATAAGAATATTGTTTTGATAATCTGCCAAACTTCCTTTGTTTTGTTAAATAAAATATGGTCAAAAATAAACCATGGGTGAATATTATGTTTGAAAACAAATATAAACCTGTCTCTAACACACACCTACATATTCTATAATGTGAAATGTTAAAATAAATATACCACATGGATCTTTTGGTCAGTCTCTTTCTCTCCTAATTACATAGAGAAAAAGTGGACTGAAAAATCTGGATTGGGGTTGACATGTGCATGTCATATCCCACTTGATTTCTCATATCAACATAGGTGATAGAACACAGAATAACAAGAGTTAGAAGGGACCCGGGAGATCTCCCAGTCCAACCCTCTACTCAAGCAGGAAACCCAGAGGTGGTATTCAGCAGGTTCTGACCAGTTCTGGAGAACAAGTAGTGGAAATTTTGAGTAGTTCGGAGAACTGGCAAATACACCTCTGACTGGCCCCGCCCCCATCTATTCTTTCCCTCCTGAGTCCCAGCTGATCGATTGGGTCTTCTTTTGTTGTCCTGCACAGGGGAACAGAGCTGGAAAGCAGGTTAGTGGGGTGGGGAGGGAATGGAGATTTTGCAGTAACCTTCCCCTGCCACACCTACCACACCACACCCACCAAGCCACACCCACAGCACTGGTAGTAAAAAAAAGTTGAATCCCACCACTGAAGAAACCCTATAATGTTCCAGACAAATGACTGTCCAATCTCTTCTTAAAAACTGGACGTGGGTTTCCAGAATCAGAAGTTACAAATTCTCTATCCAGCGAACGTGTGCATGTGTGAACCAGTCTCAAATTGTACATAACTCAAAAGAAATTAATTAAACACTGGGCTTTGCAACCATCCTAATTGCCCAACGGTCTTAACAGTAGAAATCACTTCTTACAATAACAGGATTAGAGCAAATCCTGTTTAATCTAGCCTGGTGCAACTGTATGTCTCTTCTCTCCCCTTGTTAACCCGGTCCTGTCCATTTCAGAGCTGTAGTGATGTTCTTCAAGAAAGGTTCGCTGTTGAGATGAAGTGCAGCGTCGCGTTACGGCTGGCTGCTTTGCACATCCAAGAACGGATAATCACCTGTGCTCAGCCACAGAAAGTCTCACTAAAGTATATTGAGTAAGTGAAAAGGCATTCAGTTGTAAAGTCTACTTAAAACTTTTTTAAGGAAAATACATGGCATTTAAAAAAAAACATTAAGCCAACGAGTTCAAAGACAATCTGTCACATAGGTTGGTCTTTTTTTACTGGGTCATTTGCATCATTTGCTCTCCTTGGCCACCCACCTCAGGTGGATGCCTGTGGTTGAGAACAATGCCACTTCTGCTTCTGAAGGCTAGCAAATTGCTGAAACTTACATTGCAGTCTTGTACTCTAAATCCTTCTGTAACGATTATAGGATGGTGACTGCAAGTTCTCCTGGATGATCATTTCAGGATAGGGTTGTTGTTTTTTCCTGATGCTGCAGGAAGGATTGGGGAATAGAGAATTTTATTTCTCCAACTCTACTCCGAAACATGAGAGGCAAAGACATCAAAAAAGCTATTAGTTTCCACATGAAGAGGAATCATCTTTTGCTGGACCCAAGGCAAAAGGTAAAGTGGCTTTAAGATATCTGGGAAGGTCACCCTCCAATGGACCTTGACTCTGCCATCATCTTCCTTGTTAGGTCCTTTTTATTCCTGTATTTACTCTTATAGAACCTAATTTTTCCTTTCCCAAATACCAGTATATACTGTTGGAAAGCAAGGGGGCACAATGACTCAGTGGTTAAAAGACACTGAGCTTGTTAGCTGGAAAGCTCTAACAGTCCAGGTTTGAGACCCAAGCGCCATGTGACGGGGTAGGCATCAATCCTTGCCCCAGCTCCTGCCCATCCAGCAGTTCGAAAGTATGCAAATGTGAATATATAAATAGGTACCACTTCGGTGGGAAGGTAACAGCGTTCCATGTGCCTCATCAGATAGTCATGCTGGCCAACTGACCACGGAAGCTTCTTCAGGCAACACTGGTTCCCTCGGCTAAGAAATAGAGATGAACACTGCCCCCTAGAGTCAGACAAAAACTGGGGAAACCTTTATTTTTACTGTTGGAAAGAATAAGGAAGAATAGGGAATGTATTTCTATAATAATAAAATCAATTCTTTTATTAGTGGGACCGAGATGAAGCGCTAGAAGATGCTTCAGACATTGGCACTGGGAGAGACTAGAAAATATTTGTGGCCAGTAAAATATAAAAAGTGGGGCTGTGTGTATAAATACAAATGATCTGGTCCTTGACTAAAAAAGGTGATTTGATCTCTCTGATCTTCATTAGAAAAAATAATGAGATAATAACACTTATGCTCCAAGAGCACAATGATGGATCCATGGGGAATTTTAGGATGTGCATATGCTGTCGGTAAAAAAAGTAGGACCATGCCTATAAAGATAGCTAATAATTGCCTATAATTTGTGATTTGAATATGGTTTTGTATTTATTGGGAATCAACTAATCTCATATTTTACTGTATTCAATGCTTGGGATAACATTATTAGTTAAAAGGAAACACAATATTTCTGTTCTGAGTATTACTCTGTGATGCCTTCAGAAATACTGATTGTTCCCAAGACTACAGATAATCCTCATTTAGTGAACACAATTGGAACCAGCAATCTGGTCACTAAATAAAGCAATCCCTAGGTGATACTACAGCTTATGATCTTACTTCAGCTTTCATTTTCTTTATGACCTGTGAAGATCATAAATACGAAGATAGGTCATAAAGCTACTTTTTCATCACTGTTGTAATTGTTGAATGATTGCTAAATGAGGCAGTCAGTAAACAAGAACAGCCTATATTTCTGATTCAGAGATGCCCTATAATACTGGTGGACAACTGGAACATTTGCCCCACTATTGTCCCACGAAGGTCATGGTAGTAGTAGCTTGCCATATTATTATTGACCCCAAATTTTATTGTATGAGAATAATAATATATAAGAGGCTGTGGGCCTACCAATTGTGAATATCTGGTTGTGTTAACTTTGCTTTTCCACAATTGCAGCATCTCCTTTCAGCAGCCCAAGTGCGATTGTGTTACCTGCAGATTCTTGGAGACCTGAAACTCTATGGAGGGAAAATCTTTAATGCCACACTCATGGTAAATTTATGATGTCTAATAGAAAATAAAATATGTATTTCAGGGCTATATATAATTGGTTTCTTGGTGCTCTCTGATATTGGTAATTTTCTTGTAGATACAGGTTGTCCTACTTGGGACCAGCAACTTTGCTGCTAAGCAAAGCAGTTGCTAAGTGGGAAATCACATGACTGCAACTATGTTTTCCAGCTTAAAACTGACAAGATTAATTAATTTCACACTTTTGGTTTTTGTTTGCCTTCCAACTACTCCCCACCCTTTGTATTATTGGAGTACCTGCTAATGTCTTGTACACATCAAAAGCAATGTGAGTGCCATGGGCACACTACTCAACAACTTACTCTCTTGAAATCCCTTCCTCTCCAATCTTCTTCCTCTGCAGGGGGAGCAGATGGAAGCGGGGGGGGGGGGGGAAGCAAGTGATTTTCATTGGCAATCTCTCTTTTGCCTGATCCTTCCCCCTTTTCCCATAAGGAGAGATATTGGAGAGGAAGGGATCACAAGGGAATAAACTGTTTGGTCTTCTAAATATTGAAAGCAATGTAATCACACTGGAAGTCTGGGCCTAAAAGCATGCTATTCAAACAGCTTATTAGTACTGGTCTTGAAATTTCTTCCCTTTCCATTTCTCCATTCTGCGATGCAGGAGGGGTGTTGGGGGAAAACAATTTATGTAGGCAATCTCTTCTTTACCTCACATTTTCCTGCTGCCAGCACAATCTGCTGGCTGTTTATATCTACAACCTAACAGAATTAATCAAAGAAGAAAAAATAGGAGTCATGTACACCATTCAATGTAAGGATTTTTACAGCCACTATGTAGGCCACACAGATGGCAGACTGCACCACAAACATCAAATGGCAGAAAGAAGACATGAACAGCGCCTTAATCTTGTAACACATAGACAGACTTGACCATAGCTTATACTAAGACTCTGTTAACATTTTAGAATATTAGGGAATTCCTGGAATGTGACATTCACACATATCAGTCACCAAAAGACACACAAACTCTATTTACATACTATTCAAAAGACATAATCAAAAGCCTAGAAAGGAAAAAATCATCCTGGAACACATCCTGTTCACAGCAGCCAACTCCCAGATTGGTAAAAAAAAAAACCAGGACCAGATAAACATTCAAGGGATAAATAACACCTTAATCAAGGAACCATTAAAAAGGAAGCCACACCCACAGAAAGATTGGCAAGGCAAGATGCTTAATATACATATATAAACAGCAGCTCTCCTTTCCAGTGATGGTGTTATGCAGCCTGGTAATGAAATGCCTGCAAGAAAACATCCAAGCTCAAAAAATATCAAGGACCCAACAGTTAAGATTTCGTTTTTACAGCAAAATAGTATTTTTAGTGAATGTCTCAGCCTTTCCACCATTGCATTCAACTCTTCATGTTACAGCATGAAAGCTAGATCATCTCTGTGATTTTGGGGATTTTCTCAAGGTCATTGAGAATGTCATGATGCAAGGAAACAGTTTGAATCCTTTATTTGAAATAGCTAGGCCTCTGTCTTAAAATGACTTTTCAGACACCTTGTCATCATTTGCACTTCTTAAGGATTAAAAAAGCAGATATTTGGTGTTTATTGATTAGAATTGGACTGGTTGCCACATGAGCCAAAATAAAATTCAGTGATCAAATGCCAGGACACATGCATACATCACAGATTGCAATACTGATGCAATGACACAACCTAAGGTGTGGCGATGTTAAGTCATCTCTCACTGCTTGCATCAGAAGAAGTCCCCTGCTTCCTATGCGGTGTATAGATACCATTAAAGAAAGAAAGAAGGAGTGGCACTTTTCTGAAACAAAGGATGGCATAGTAATTCATAAATTGAAGCAAGAGCGGGGAGCTGTCACTCTTAGTAATGCTATTGTTCAGCTATTACTTTGAGGTATCCCTCTTACTTTCCTGACTGATGGAGATCTGGCGATTTTGCAGTAGGAACGGGAGGGCCATCTTGAATTCATGGAGGAAAGGCAAGATGAAAATAAAATAGTATCCATGTAGATGTCTCAGATTATACACCAATAAAAAATGAAGTAGTTCTATCTTATTGGACAGTAGTTAGTTGTGGGACTAAGAGTGATCCTGAAGATGTACAGGCTGTAAACCAAGAAGGGTTTTAAACTGTTAGCACCTCGAATTGTGCAGGCAACTATAGAGGTGGGGATAAAGAAGACTTTGTTTAGCCTTGGTCCAAGGTGAAACAATTGTCCATGACTGCAGCGAGTTTCAGAAATACTTTTTGCTGTTAATGTTTAATGTGTAGCAATAAACAATGCACAAAGATGCCCTTTGTGGTACACAAGGCCCAGTTATTTTAAGAGTTCTGAAATTCAATATTGGTATTAGAAATGTCAAGCCAAGTCTTTTCTGATTCTCACCTTGAAATAACCAGTAACCTATTTTTCCTGAGGTCCACCCATGACACTATTTCTGTTTTGCTTGACAAGGAAATAAATAGACCCATCATAACCATTCAGAAAGAGGCCTGATACTACATATAAAGTCAGATGGCAAACAGGCTGCTGCATGTTTGATGGTATAAGGTCGAGTGTCTATATTTTGAGTCTCTGAATTCATTTCTTTACCACATTAGTGTATCTATGTATAGATATCACATAAGATCAGTCCAGGAAGGCCTGCCATCTGAGACCTTGAGATGAAGCCACTTGTCTCTTCCACCCATTTGTTCCCAGGACCAGCCTAACACACTTCTGCCAATTAACTACTTTGCCAGTCACCTTAAAAGCTGTGAGCATTTCTCAGAGGCATAAATTGTGAGGGGCCCACAGCTTGATCACAACTGTTAAGATGAGCTATGATAATCCAAAAATGTTCAGTCAGAAGCAATTATGTGGAAATAGTAATTTCCTGAATTGATCAGCAATGTAGAAAAAACAGACCTGCTGCTATCATCCAGTGCTGGAGTTAATAAATGAAACAACTGAGTAATTTCCTGCTTTCCTCTCTACAGTACAGCATAAATGATGGCCAGTAAGTTTCATAAAACACTGAATTATGTTAAAGTGAGCTGTTCAATTCCCATTTAGGTTTTTGTAATGCTTTTGTAAACTTTTGGCTGCATTCATAAAACATAAGATGTTATTTGTTTAACTTCATATTTCTGAATTAATGGCAATTTCACACACCCTAAACATTTCTAAACCATTGTTTAGACAGCACAAATGTAAGCCATTATTTGAGAGAGAGAGAGAGAGAGAGAGAGATATTTCTCTATAGGATCCAATTCTTTACTAGGCGTCTATTGTTTCTTCTCAATCGAAGCAAGAATGAGAAAAGGTTAACTGTTAGCTAATACAGAATACTATTAAAAAAAAACCCTTCTGAACTGATCAGAAATGTCTCCTTGAGATTAACATGTATTTAAAAATAACGTTGTGAAAGTTCAAATTGTGTTACTTCATTTGTGTGGGTTTCTTTACATGTCCAAATTATACTGTATAGATATTGTAGCCAGGCACGAGTTTGTTCCTTTCTAAGTTTGGTCATAAGCTGCTTTCCCCCCATGAAGCTACAGGACAGAGAGACATGCATTGCCTTGCTGGTGGGAGCCAAATACGGAATCAGTCAAGTGGTTAATAGCAAACTCAATATCATAACCTTGCTGGCAGAATTTGCTAACATAAGCAGGCTGGAACTCAGTAAAGAATCTGACAAAGTAAGCATGGTGAAGATCTACCTCCAAGATATAAAGGTAAATATATTTCATATCAATTTTGATGTATTACCCTGTCAGGAACGTTTCAGCTCATCATGTTTCCCTTCTTCTGTACAAGGTGCTCACTCTGCTACTGGAGTCCAACAATGCCAAAGATCTGGCTTGTCTCATCAGTGGTTACTACAGAATGTTTGTAGATTCAAGCAGCTCCATATTCATCTGGGAGGAAAGAAAACCTCAGATGCACCGGATCTCTGCTGAGGAAGGTAAAAAGCAAGTTTCCTTAAATAAGTAAAGGAGAGGAGTGTTCCAAACTCAATAGATAGATAGATAGATAGATAGATAGATAGATAGATAGATAGATAGATAGATAGATAGATAGATAGATAAATTTATTGTCATTGTGCTCAGGAACCTGAGAACAACGAAATAAGGTGCTCTTTCACAACATACAACTAAACAACACCAAAAGACATATACAAATAACAATATAAAACAAATTAAAACAGATAACAATTAAAAACTGTACAACCAGGATATATATATGTTAAGACCACCAGATTCAATAGTGCACCTGTTGCTAGAAATACATGCATATATTTAGCACTTTGATGTCTCCGTCTGTTATTTATTCTTCTCTATACAGCTTTATTGCCCCCTTCATTTGTAGGGGCAAAAGCAAAAGGATTCTTAGAAACCCCATTTGAAATGGTCATTGAGATACGCTGAAAGGATGTGGGAGATGTTTCTGTCACATCTGAATGTGAATTCACCTAATTTCAGGGGCATGAACCAGTGCCAGAGATACCATTCAAGACACAGTCCTCCTAATTTTGCAGGCAATCAAAATTTACCAGGCTTCCTATAGTTGAACCTGGGCCTACTTTCCCCCATCCACAGTCCCCCAGTCTCCACACACTGAGACAGACCCTGTTATGGTTGAAACGTGTTTGAATATTAGCCCATTATCCTTTGACTACCCAAATGATGCTGCTGAGAACAGTATTCAGGATATGTTCAGAGGAATCCTTTTTCTTAGCAGTACAGTCATCTTAAGGATCTTTTTAGGGAGCTTTTATTTCAATTGTGTTCTAAGTTTGCTTGGAAGGAAGCAAGGAAATTGTCTGTATGTGTTTGCAGGATACGAATCTAGAACCTGCAGTGACTCTGAAGAATCTTCTGATCCAGATTCCTCCTTGGACCATTTCTCAGGCACACATTCACCCAAGTACAGCAGTATTAGTCCCCCAATTGAGGAGGAAGGAGAGCAACAAGAGCTGGAGCAAGAAAGAAAGACCTTGGAGGCCAAAGAAATGAGATTTTGCAATGGGTACAACATAAGCGATAGCCTTTCAGAAGCCTCCGATTCAGCCAACACAGAAAGCAGGGGGCCAAAGTCCAGTGGCTCAAGTGACTCTTTGGATGCCTTGGAAGAAGATGATTTAGAAGCGTGCTCAGCAAGCAGGACAGAGATTTTTCAGTTTTGTAACTATGCTCTTCAAAAATTGGCCAATAATGACAAGGTGCTTTTTGAGGCAGATGGAGATGAGGAAAGCGGAACATCACAAGATAATTTTTTTTCTTTCCTCCTGCCACCCCTGGTATCCAGTCCAGGTCTTCCACAGCCAGAAGAGGAATCCAGAAGAGAAAACGGTGTGAGTATTCTAGAGTCCAAGCTGGCCGAAAGCAACATCATGGAGTACTACAGCCTCTGCGCCAACCTCTCTCCAGCCAGCAGTGGAGGGAAGAATACCCAGAGTGACAGCCCTGAAAGCTGCTCTTTGCAGGAGCCTGAAAACCATGAGAACATCAGTGAGGGCCAGGCTCCTGTTTTTGTCTTGAGATCTCCCCCTGGCTTTGGAAAGACTAACTCAGATAATAAAGTCTGTGATGGAACCGAAAGGATGACTCCAAAAGAGCCAAAAGCAGGTGAGTTAAAAGATAACCCCTGGAGTATCTCCTTTGTGCTATGAACCTCCCAAGGTCTTTTATTTTGACTGCTATCTTGGCAATCCTTGTTGGTCTCTTCCATATTTCACACTGTTACTCATGATGTCTCGTAGTGCTATAGTATCAATGTGAGGCCTTTAGAATAATTAAAGCTGATTGAGTCGCTTACTGAAATCTAGCCAGTTATTAGCTTTTCCTTTCATATTCAAAATATTATTCCTTATATCTGCCCAATATTTTGTTTTCATTTAAGCATGGGTGCCTATGACTGAGAGTTAATGGCTATTCCACAAAACTCATTGCAAAGAAAATTCCAGTTCAGTGTTTCATATTATTACATTTCCTCTGATTTTTTTCTTTTAGTTGCTAAAAGTACCAATACACGGAAATAAATTGTCGCGGTACTTACTGTTTGTGTTCATGCAACTATAAATGGTGGAATATTTGTGTGAGAACGTTTTAATGTAGTAAAAAAAAAACTAGAAATTTACTACTACGACTAACGAGTACTCTGTGATAGCAGAATTTCTCTAGTCTCTCTCAACTTTTCATCCCTTTGTGCCATAAAAAGATACAAAAGTGGATGAAAGAGGATGATGGGTAAGTATATCTCCAACTTTGTTGAGCTGGTTACAATAGATTAAATTTCAGTGACAAGGTGAGAGAGGAAGGCCATCAGATAATGCCTGACATTTCCCTAGTTTCTTTATTAGCTTGTAGAAATAAATGAATCGAAGGCACCTTTAGACACCCATATCAGCAGCAACATAAATCTTTTCACAAACGACTTTTGAAATAGGACAAAAAAGTAATTCTCCATATTGATGGCCTCTTCTTTATTTTTTAGGTTCTGAAATTCTACCCCTACATTGTTCCCCAGAGTTGCCATATTGTGGCAGTTTGGATGAAAACATCCTGTCAAGACAAAGCAGAAAGGTGAAATTCAGGCCAGAAAAAGACCCAACGTGTGCCCATAAACTGAGGAAAAGAAGGTCCTTCCTCGAGACAAATTTTACTTCCCAAGTTAGTTTCCCCAAAGCTTCACCCCATGCCCTGGAAACCAATGTTGGTTGCAGTAAAGATGCTACCATTTCAGGAGCTTCGAACCCCACAGGTGAGAGTTTATTGAAGGAACCCCAGCAAATTCTCAATCTTCTTGAAGCCACACAGAAAAACCAGGTGGTCCCAAATTCAACCTTTTCATTTGATTCACCAGAAATGGGGCAGACTTCATCAGTAACCAATTCAGTCTGGTGCCTGGCCTCTGCGCAGGCAAGTGGAGGAAGTTTAGACTCAAGAGATTGCTCTTTAAATTCCTTTTATGTGCCCCCCCATCAGAGTCACCATTTAAGTACACCAGAAATTAATTTTCAGCCGGATGGTCCTGATCCCACTTGTGAAGAAAAAACAGAAAAGCTTACAGAAATAGCTAGACAGGTTCAGGGACATTGTGAAGTAAAAGCAGAGTGTTCCGTAAAGCAAGCACTTGACAAGAAAACAATCAAAACTACGCCTCCAACAGGAGTCAGTTATGTATTGATTGAGGAAATAATACACACTACCACCAAACCTTCGGGGTCTCAAAACAGCATCCAAGACAAACCTTCGTCTTTTGCCCCAGTCTTGGACCTGGATTCTCATTCTGCAGAGAAAGCTGAGAAACAGGAACAGGTTATGCTAGATCCCTGCAAGAGAGCCAAAAGTGACTCCATCTTGTGTGAATCCAGCCAGGTCCTTGGAGACTTAAAACTTGAAGAAAGTGCCCGCCAATTGTCAAATAAGGGTGCTATGCAGAAATCGGGAGATGAAAAACTTCTGGGGATTTCAACTGTAACTGATACATCAAGCCAAATTTGCTGGCCAAATTTCAGTTCAGCAGCAGGAAATGCAAAAATCTGTCAGCAAGTAGATCATGATTGCCAAGGAATTACTAGCCAAAATGGCCTGGGCATTAATAATTTATCTTTAAAAGATGATGTTATCAATCAAGTCCCAGCCCACTTATCAGCTGTGAGTATATCTCATAATCTGTGCCAATCTACAGACATTGCTGGTGACTTTAAAACAGAGGGGAAAAACCTCACAGGAAACGCTCTCATTACAGATTATAAAAACAAAAGATCCAGTTCACTAATGGCTTCCTCAGAGGAGAACGTAGAACAGAGCAAAAGTGGTAATTCAGCTGGACAGGGTTACCTTTCATTGGACATTTTGCCTAAGACTGCCAGACCCAGTGAGAAAAACTGTACTTCAGATCTGCCCTTTCTGTCTTCTGACAATGCAACTGGAGGTGCGGTGGCATTCAGTGACACAGGTCTGCCAGGTTTAGTGAATTCTGAGGAAACCCGACATAAACTGGAGAGATGCAGCTGCCAGTTGTCTTACGCAAGCTGTTTCCATGGGGTAGAAAATGAAGCAGAATTAGACAGCCCCAAACCCTTCGCAAGTAGCATTTCTGAAGGACCGTTAACAAGTCCACCTTCAACAAGAAACCCACTGCCTTCAGATTTTAATCCCACCAGGCACCTCCAAGAACATGTGAACGGGACCCCACGAGATTCTCAGAATGACAGATACCTCCCAGAATTGCCTATCAAAGAACTGAGCGATATGAAAGAAAAATGGTCTGCCTCGACATTTGACTTCTGCCATTTATTAGGGGATGTAGTAGAGCTAAAGGAAATTTTAAGGCGGTCTTCAGGAAGCCAAAGGAAACATCCAGAGGATCAATGCACTGCCCTTTTTTCAGAAAGCAAGAATGCCTTGTATGTGGAATCACAGAGATTGTTAGCCAATTGTCAGAAGATTATCAAAGCACGAGGGCCTTCTCCAGAGACACCAGTGATAGTTCAAAAGACCTTCCAGAACCTTCTCCAGTTGACGGAAGTATGCCTACAGTTCACAGACTGTGGCTTTTGCAGTAGTGGGCACATAGACCTTAAAACCAACCTGAGGGATGTTTTATGTAGCTATCAACAGTTTTTGGAGGCATGTCGGCAAACTCATGAGAAGGATTACTCCAGCCTAAGCTTAAAACTATGTGTGTGTCAATATACGGCCCTCACCGCTTCCCTTTTCTGCCTTGTACAGCAGTTCAAAGCTTCATCCTGCACATGAGATGGATTTGTTAAGCTGTCTCTTCCTGCTTCTCCTTTCTTTGCACTAACAGTACAACTATTGTTAAATTCATTATAAAGAGAATTAGCTATTTTGAAAACTTGCATATTTTGTGACCTTCTGAGTCAGCCTGATAAATGTATAACCCTGGGAGATTCTAATAAAAACAGGGAATGTGTAAAAGAATGGCTTGAAGGAAAACTGAGAATTGTTTGGTTTCATTTGTGAATGGATATTGATAGTCAAAGCTTGAATGAAGTCAAGGGAATAAGTCATTTCTCATAAAAGTCATAGCATAATTCACATCCAATTTTACTTTTTTTTCCCACTTTCCCCTTAAGTGAAGAAGACACAAGATCAATCTTTTCTGAAGGTCTTTTCAATGTTAATAGCTGTGGATAAATGCTACTTAAGAATACTCAGAGAGTATGTACGCTGTAAGTCAAACTGGACAGATCTGCTGAACATATTATCTTACAATGTTAGCGTGTGCCAAGTGGTGGAAATGTTGATCAAGGTTAAAGAATCCGTATCATAGGTATCTATCTTTTGTGTGGGACTCTTCTTTCTGGTGTTTTAAATAAATGCACCTGGAGTATGTTTCAAAGATACATTAAAAAAAAAGACTCATACATCACTGAGTGATACATAAGTGATAAGATGCTGGACTAACACAAAGAAGACCATGATTCTTGTTTACTTAAGCCATAGAGGTTCACTTGGCAACTTTGGGCCACTCACTCTTTCAACCCAAACTGTCTGACATGCCAAGGGTCACTGGCAGTGAAGCGTCACAGGCAGTATGGTAGTATAATGGGCTGCAAGAATAACCTTGGGAAACAGGAAGAAGAGCTGCTGCCTACATAATGGCCCTGGCTTCTGTTTCCCAGGATTGTTTTCACAGCCTATTACAGGTGGTAGCAGCTTTTCTTCACAAGTTGCTTTTACTTTTTATTTTAAAGGGATATTCCCCTTTAAAATAGAAGACAACTTTTGAACAGTATTTTCACCCAATTGCTGATTTTTTGTACTCACTGAAAATGGAAGTGATGCATCTCTTTATTATACCTAATAAATAAAGACCTAGTTAATTAGCAGGAAGTAAGCTCTACTATAGAGGCCTTGTTTTTGAGTGCCTATGCAGGCAAGCACTACAAAGCATTTTATAATATCCCTATCCTTAATTTTAGAATGCCCCTAATAACACAATTAGTCAACTCAGCTATGCTTGGAAGGGTAAATAATGGTGGCAAGGAGATTTAATCTGAAATTAGAGCAATAAAGCATTTATGTTTTTTTAAAAAATAAACTGACATAACCTCAGCTCCTTTGCCTACGAGTGCAGGAAAAGCTACCCATTCATTTCATTATGAAAGATTCATTGTTTTCAGCAAAAATTCCCAGCACAAATGTCATGTTTTTTTTAAAAAAGTGCAAATCAGTAATAAGTGCAGTTAATTGCAATGTAAAACGAACCATGTTTTAACCCTTCTAATAGATTCACCAAGAATAACCAATGAGGGACCCAGTCTTTTCCCCAAGAAGTACAGTAAGCAGAAATGAAGATCAATTAAATAATCATTTACTCTCCCCACATGTCTATATACAGTAGTGTTGGAGTCAAAGCTTCATAATTTACAATTGGAAATTTTAAATCACTGTAGTCCAAAATATCTGGAATGCAATTGAGTAAAGGAGACTGTTGTAGGTTACCAAAAGCAGACCAAATCTTGTTTTCTCATATTTGTATCCAGAACCCTTTTGTCATTGTGTGTCTTTGAAGACGTATCCCTTTCCAGGAGAAACTGCGGCTTTAAGTGCTTCTTCCCAGCTCTTTGTATCATAGAAAGTTGATAAGGCATCAAACACTAAAAGAAACACATTGGATAATTACAACAAAGTCATGAACATTACAAGGAGGACAGAATCCAATCATGGCATAACAGAGCTTCTATGGAAACAATAGCCATCCTCTGTATTTCTAGACTCTTATTTTCCAACAATAATTTAAATATGTTAATAAGGAGTGTGCAAGATTTGTGGTCTTTAATACAGCATGACATTCAAGGCTTTCGTACTTTGCTCAAGGTAGACCTCTACTGTTTAATGCCTATTTGCCCATTTCTCTTCGGACAAGTCCGGTATGTTAGGACTGTATCTACCTCAGGAGCAATTTCTGGAACATTTCATGTGATACAACATTTTGTGCCCTAAAAAGTACAATAAACAAAAATGAAGATCAATTCTGTCCGAGTCCAAAACTCCAGTGTGCATAAATCAACTGTGCAACCATTGTCAGAAAGATGTAATTTTTTTAAAAAAAATGGATCAACATCATCCATGCAAGTTATCAGGAGTTGATTTGCAACAGCTAATTCCAACTATAAATTGAATAGGAAATCTGATGGTAATACCATGCCTGCAAATAGATGGCAGTAAATTCTATCAACAGGTATGTGCATTACTTACCTTGGTTGATTGCTAAGGTTGTTGAATGGTAATTTTTTGCATTGATGTTTTTTACCATGTACTCTTGAATGGGCAGTCGTGCTGTCTGCAGATGTCTTTCCTGGGCAATTTGGAAAGTGAGTTTCTACAAAAACAAATTATATATACTAAAAAGAGGAAGGGAGGAAATGATTCTTTATGCCAGTTTTTTTTTTAAAGGACTACATCTGGCTATTAGATTCTTTAAAAAGCTTACTATGCCTATTCTCCAAACCCAGAAGCTCAATTTTAATCATGTTAGTGAATTATACACAGGAAAATTATATTTGGGATTAGATATGTTCCTGCAGTTCACCACTAAAATACTGCCTAGCTATTTCTGTAAGAATATCATTATATGTACAATATACTTACTTTTTGAATGCTTTCATCCACCAGCCCTCCCAAAATATGTACTTTTTGTGGATCAACTTCCTCAAGAACTAAAATGAGAAGGACACAAACAAACATCTAGTAACAAAGACAGATTGCATGATATCATTCTCATTACCATATTCATAATCTTGTTGTGTTTTGCCTATCCACAACACCTTTAGCAGGAGCCAGTAATAAAGGCAAAGAAATACAGAGAACATCAAAACTGGCAGTATAGTTAAAACAGTTATTATGAATGGGAAGCATTCAAAATATACACTGTCCCTCTACATGGGGCTACGTTTGAAAGTCATTCAAAAACTGCAGCTGGTTCAGAATGCAGCACTGATAACTACAGGTGCACTAAACTGATGTAATATCATCTCCTCGGTAAGATCATTAAACTCCACTACTTTTGAGTTGCTCTCAGTATGTTTCTGGGTGCAGTTCAAGGTGCTGTTGGTCACCTACAAAACCTTCATAGTACAAGACTGGACTACTGGTGGGACTTCCTATCTATCCTTATTTCTGCCAATTCCATGAGATCTGACAGGTAGGCTTGTTCTGAGTTCATCCAATTGCACAATAACATCTACCGGTATCTAGGAAGCTTAACTTCTGTTGCTGTGTCTGCTTGTGGAACAATCTACTACTTATCCCAAAATTCAGAAGGACTAAATCCCAATGGCGAGTAAAATTTTAGCTTTCTTCCTGGACATGGTCAAGAAGCTAAGTGAACCCCATTTTAGGGGATTATTGCAGGGAATATGTGTGCTACCTGGGTGTTTCAAGTTTCATTTATGTTTTTAACTATCTAATCATATGCCAAGAAGTGGAGAAGAACAATAGGTTGATTTTTTTTTAAAATGTATGTTGAGAGTGGGTGAAAACTTTGTTAGTCTCCTTTCGTAATACGTTTAACTCAATTAGGCACTAACTGCTCTGTCACTGGAGGCTTTGGCAGCAACATAGTCCTACTAACTAGCTCAAAAAATATATATCAAAATTTCGGGGATTTAGAATCTCTGTCCACTTTCTCCAAGAAATGCCATATATTGCATCTGTCAAGCACCAGAGATTTCAGGAGATCCAGGCAGTTCAAATGTGTATAAAGCTTTATTATAAGCTTGAGCTCTCTACAAGAATCTGAACTACTAACCGTCAAGGGAAATTAGAAGTTAAAAATAGAAAGGAATTCAAGGTGGGCTGGCCTATGTCTTGTGGGCTTGATGGTGCGTGTGACCCTTTCCTCAGGCTCAGCCTGGTCATCTCCTACAGCATCTGCCCCATTACTATTCCAGCAAGGTTCCATGACACGACTAACCCTTTTTCCATTTCCTTTTTCATCCAATCAGAATGTGGGAGCTTTGTTTTAGAGTAGGTGTGTCCAACCAGCAGCCCAAGCAGCTGCTGATCATGCAGCTCTCCCAAGATTATAACCTTTTAATATTATGTGATCTATATACTGTACATTAGCTATATTGTATATACAGTATTTTATGTGTCCCAGGACAATTCCTCTTCACTCAATGTAGCCCAGGCAAGCCAAATGTTCTCTACTATACAGCTAAACTTAGTAGGTAGTTTTGTAATGGAGAGGCTTCTAACCACTCTTTATATCAAATTCTCTTCTCAAAATCGGTCAAAATATGGGATTTAGGTGTTCTATAATACAACTGACTTGGTGGAATTAGTTGGGTCTATAGGGAAGCGGGGGGGCAAGGTAATTGCTTCTTCTCTGTGCTGCTACAATACATTAACTCTCTCCCTGAGCCAGTTAAGCATGCAGTAAAAATTAATATGTTATTCTACCTTAATTCTCTGAATTGTGTAGCAATCTTTTAAAAAATGACTAAAATCAGAAAGACTGAAATAGAATGGCTGCTAACTGTTAGTCCTCTGCCTTGGTTCAAAACAAAATGTCTAGGTATGCTCAAATATATTAAAATTCTGCCCAGCTAAATCTATAAAACATACAATACAGAATAACTATAATAATTATGGTTTCTATCTGACCGAATTTCTCCTTGCCTGCTTTGTGAAGGGTTTTTTTTCTCCTTCCCAGCTCCAATAAGCTTACTCACTGGACTCTTTTGAAGAATTCTCCTTCTTCATTAAAAAAAATGATTCTTAATTATGTTTTTATCTGTCTGCAAAACTTTGCTGTTTTCCAAAGCTTGCTGGTGCTGTCAGCAAGCTTGTGTTTAGCTGGTGATGTTATTTTGGCTAAATAAAATATTAAGTGCTGGTACTTGAGTACTGAAAATGAAGGGAACAATGTTATTTATAGATACCATTTACACTATCATTTTCTCATATCTCCAGTAAGAGTATTTCTGGCTTAAAGTGCATCAAACTAAACTACCATCTGCTTAATATTATAGATTTTTCTATTTTGAGATATACCTTTCTAATTGTTGGTAGTAATTAGCTCTATTTTTACTCTAAAGGTTACTATATATTCCATGCTAGTCTATATTATTTGATGATCTTTTTGAAAAATAACACCAGAACAGCAGTGCCCAACCTTTCCACCTTGGCGTGGCAGGGGGAGGCATGTGAGTGATAGGCGCACACAGGCACACACAGCTCTGTTGGAGGGAGAAGTAGGCCCGCATGCCCTCCACTTGAGCGAATGGAGCTTCACGTGTGAGAGGAGGGCACTTGTGCTCGCATGCGAAGCTCCACTCGTGTAAGCAGAGACCGTTGTGCACAAAGCTCCATTTGCGTGAATGGAGTTTCACACGCAAGCCCCCTCTGCTCACATGAGTGGAGCTTTGCGTGTGATCACAAACGCCCACCACTCAAGAGCGCTCTGCTTGTGAGTTCAAGGGCCCACCACTCGTGTGAGAGGGGCTTTGCGTGCATGCGCTTGCCCGCCATTCACGTGGCCCAGTTCCAAACAGGGTGCAACCCAGTGGTGAGCCGTTGTCCAGGGGTTGGGGATCCCTGCAGTAGAAGGTCTGTAGCTTCTGTTTAGGCAGCCTTTAGTGATTTTAAATCAACATTTAATTCATTTTTTATATTTCCTTAATAGGAAAGGCTTGGTATTTTAGATTCAGTTATTCTTCCTAATCCAGGAGTTTCATAAATATTCTAGAATTAGGAACTTGATGTTACTCACAAGGTCTATTAACTTAGCTCCTTCCTTGTTCAACTTATACATGAATTTATAGGCAAAGAAATTTTCAAATCCAAACTTTCAGCCCTCTAGAGTAACAGACATGAAGTCCCCACTCTTTTTTTATGGAGATGATCATTTTAAGAATTTCAACTGGCCTCAGATGATCACTTAATATTTTTGTGCATTACTGCAAGGAAAATCACCTTGGATTCCAGAAGACTAAAGTACAGACAAGTTCTCGACTTAAAACCGTTTAGTGACTGTTAGAAATTACAATGGACCTTCATAGAGTTACTTACAACCTGGTTTTGACAGCCTCCTACTCCCCCCGCCCAGATCACATGATCAAATTTTGGAAACTTGGCAACAGGCAACATGATCGCAACTTGCAATATTTTTTTTGCTGGGAACTGGTATTAACTTCTGGTTTCCAGCAAAAAATGTCCATTGGGTATAATGGGTTCTCTTAACCATCACAGTGTTCATTTAATGACCATCAAAATATATAACCTCAATTCTAGACTCAATTATGCTTTTAAGTCAAAAACTAAAACGATCTTTCCTAAAACATTTAGGAAGTTTCACTGGGGAGTTTTAAATCCAGGTGTAGTCCTTCAAGACTCAGGATCATGGGATACAGGTATCAAATCTGTATTCTTGTGGCCTCAAAGAGATTCTTCAGCTCTTCTATTTTTTTCCCCACACTTTTCAGCCCTAAAACTATTCACTGACCAATGCTTGGCTCAGTTGCTTATAGATCTCCATTACATTTTACCCAAATTATAGGATGATTTTTGAGGAAATAGTACAAACTAAGTCTATTACAGCAGTGCTTAAAGCTCTAAAATGTGTATTCAATGCAATTTTACGGCTAAAAGCTGGCCAGATGAAGAAATAACCTTATTATTCATTTTCCAGTTGGGTTGATCCCATTAGCCAATAAATTCCAGTTGTTTTGGATTCTAGTGAATTTTAGAACATTTCTCAATTTCTAAATTTCCTCAAATTTATGGCGGCTGGGAGTTATCAAACAAAGGATCTTAGATGCCTGAATACTAGAATGAGAGAGGCCTTATTCAAAATTCATCCCATTACAGTTTAACCACCCTAGATGGAAGTCAGCTAATTATGCTGACTCACTGTCTTCCCCATTTCAACAAAGACTCTTCTTCAGAGCAAGGTCAATAGTTGGCGTTTAGCATTTTTATATAGGAGAGTTAATAAAAGATCCTATAGCTAATCAGACTTTCTGTTGTGATGGTTCCATGAATCCATCCATATTAACAAGATTCCATTTTTCTTTGTTGTTACGTTCCCGAGATCAAT